TCGGTGGGTGAGGTAGTTACTCCACAAAAGGTAGACTTTCGCAACTCTGCTGGATCTTCACCAGGCTCAGAAGTCCGAAGGCACGGCCATTCTCGAGGGTCAAGGAGAAGGAAAGGGGGTCCTTGGGACCACCGGTTCGGGGAAGAAAGGTAGGAAAGAGATCTCCCTTTCGTGAGGTCATCGGCAGGGTTATCAACAGAGCTAACATAATGCCAAGAGCACTGATCGGTAAGTTCCTGGATTTCAGCGATCCTATTGCCAACGAAGACTCTTTAGCGACAGGACTCTGACTTTAACCACTGAAGGACCGTCGTAGAATCTGTCCACAGCACAGTAGACTGGCTCATCGAGGACAACTCGTTTGCCAGCAACTTTGCAAGCTGGGTTGCGACTAAGCTCCCACAGAGCTCCAATCTGGGAATGGAGTGTACTCTCTTAGGGGTAACATGGGAACGAGCGATAAGGAAGGAGAGGTAGGTCTGACCGGCTGGGTCAACAGTACGTAGATAAGCTACGGCTCCATAGGCTTGCTCAGTGGCATCTGAGAAGATGTGGACCTCATGAGTAACTCCCTCAGTCCTAACTGCAGGGGGTACATAAGGCAGAGGAAGAGAGACACTAGGAAGGCAGCGAAGTTCTTCTTCCCACTGCATCCAGGAATGGAGAAGATCAGGAGGCAGGTTGGGATCGTCCCACTCTCTCTGTTGGTTCCAAAGGTGCTTAACGATAACTTTCGCATGGGTTGTGTAAGGAAGGAGCAGTCCCAGGGGGTCATATTGTGTAGCAAGGACCCTGTAAATATTCCGCAAGGTAGGGGTCGCATAGATCACGGGTCTGTGTTTATAGGACAAGGTGTCGGACTGCCAATTCCAACTCAACCCTAATGTGGACTCAGGGACGTCTGCCTTCTTCTGCGTCAGCCACAACTCCACACTACTTGCTCGAGCCTCAGGAGGTAGGTGACTTAATACAGCTGGATCATTACAGGCCCACTGCCGGATCTCAAATCCAGCCCCAGACAGGATAGTGTGCAGGCGATCAATCAGACTCCGGGTTGCATCAGCAGTAGGTAGGCTCTGGAGCGAATTCACTAGGATCTGGATGAGTAAACTTGGGGATTGTAGGAGGGGGGCCACGATACACCGACTCAGAGGAAGGGATTACAGGCCACACCTTAGGCTCTGACTGAGAAAAAAAAGGCTGGGACATGAACATTGGCAGGCGCTAACTGGCCGTGGGCAGGCAATGGCATGGCACTAGGTGTGAGCAACTCTCTGAGGTCCTCAGGAGTAGGAGGCGGAGGGAATTCACCAACATCAGGAACACTAGGAACACGAGGAGGGCGCGAACGAGTGGTAGGGAGCACCAAGGGAAACTGCTGAGACCCTGAGACCACAGGCTGATATGAAGTAGCTGCATAGGACAACTCAAGGTCACATACTTGTCTAGCTAAGGCTGCATCCGGCTCAGGCCAAGGCGGCGGAGGAAGATCAGGGAAAGGATCATAATCGACTACAGGAGTGGATACACGGGGCTTCACTGGAGGACTGGACAACCACAAAGCCGAGGGCTGTACGGGCGAAAGGGATTGGCCTCTGGCTTGGCTAAGGTCTGCTCGAAGGGACTGCGCTGCGTGAACCAACTCTCGAACTTCTGCACGCACTGCTCTTAACTCTCTCAGGTCAGCTTCGAAAGGGACTGCG